GTGACGGTCACCACACACAGTGACGGTCACACACACAGTGACGGTCACACACACACAGTGACGGTCACTCACACACAGTGACGGTCACACACAGTGACAGTCACACACAGTGACAGTGACACACACAGTGACAGTGACACACACAGTGACAGTCACACACAGTGACGGTCACTCACACACAGTGACAGTCACACACAGTGACAGTCACACACAGTGACAGTGACACACACAGTGACGGTCACACACACACAGTGACAGTCACACACACACAGTGATGGTCACACACACACAGTGACGGTCACACACACACAGTGACGGTCACACACACAGTGACGGTCACACACACACAGTGACGGTCACACACACAGTGACGGTCACACACACACAGTGACGGTCACACACACACAGTGACGGTCACACACACACAGTGACGGTCACAACACACACAGTGACAGTCACACACAGTGACACACACAGTGACACACACAGTGACAGTGACACACACAGTGACAGTGACACACACAGTGACAGTGACACACACAGTGACAGTGACACACACACAATGACAGTGACACACACAGTGACAGTCACACACACAGTGACAGTCACACACAGTGACACACACAGTGACAGTCACACACACAGTGACAGTGATAGTCACACACACACAGTGACAGTCACACACACACAGTGACAGTCACACACACACAGTGACAGTCACACACACAGTGACAGTCACACACACAGTGACAGTGACACACACAGTGACAGTGACACACACAGTGACAGTCACACACAGTGACAGTGACACACACAGTGACAGTCACACACACAGTGACGGTCACACACACAGTGACGGTCACACACACAGTGACGGTCACACACACAGTGACGGTCACACACACAGTGACGGTCACACACACACAGTGACGGTCACACACACACAGTGACGGTCACTCACACACAGTGACAGTCACACACAGTGACAGTCACACACAGTGACAGTCACACACAGTGACAGTGACACACAGTGACAGTGACACACACAGTGACAGTGACACACACACAGTGACAGTGACACACACACAGTGACAGTGACACACACACAGTGACAGTGACACACACACAGTGACAGTGACACACAGACAGTCACAAAGACACACACAGTGACAATCACACACACACACACAGCGATAGTCACACACATACAGTGACAGTCACACACAGTGACAGTCACACACACAGTGACAGTCACACACACAGTGACAGTCACACACACACAGTCACAAAGACACACACAGTGACAGTCTCACACACACACACAGTGATAGTCACACACACACACAGTGACAGTCACACACAGACAGTCACAAAGACACACACACAGTGACAGTCACACACACACACACAGCGATAGTCACACACACACAGCGATAGTCACACACACACAGCGATAGTCACACACAAACAGTGACAGTCACACACACACAGTGACAGTCACACACACACAGTGACGGTCACACACACAGTGACGGTCACACACACAGTGACGGTCACACACACAGTGACGGTCACACACACAGTGACGGTCACACACACAGTGACGGTCACACACACAGTGACGGTCACACACACAGTGACGGTCACACACACAGTGACGGTCACACACACAGTGACGGTCACACACACAGTGACGGTCACACACACAGTGACGGTCACACACACAGTGACGGTCACACACACAGTGACGGTCACACACACAGTGACGGTCACACACACAGTGACGGTCACACACACACAGTGACAGTCACACACAGTGACAGTCACACACACAGTGACAGTCACACACACAGTGACAGTCACACACAGTGACAGTCACACACACAGTGACACACAGTGACAGTCACACACAGTGACAGTCACACACACAGTGACACACAGTGACAGTCACACACACAGTGACACACAGTGACAGTCACACACAGTGACAGTCACACACACAGTGACACACAGTGACAGTCACACACCTGCACCAGTAGTTTGACATAGACGAGCGGATGGCTGAGTCCCGACAGCGCGGCGCCCACCAACAGCTGCACTGAGTCCGCGTCCGAGTCCAACTCCACCGCCATATCCCCACAGGGCCGCGGCCTGGGCCCGGGCACGTGACCGGGGACCCGCACTGGCGGCAGCGCCCTCTACAGGGCAGAGCGGGCGGCGCGGGGGGCGGGGCCGGGGCTGGAGGGGGCGGGGCCGAGGGCGGGACTGAAGGGCGGGGCCGGAGGGTGCGGGGCCGGGGCGGGGCTGGGGCGGAGCCGGGGGCGGGCCGGAGGGCGGGGCCGGGACTGGAGGGCGGGGCCGGAGGGCGGGGCCGGAGGGCGGGGCCGGGACTGGAGGGCGGGGCCGGAGGGGCGGAGTCGGGGCGGCGTTGTTGGGGGCACTCCCTCCCCCCCTCTGGCGCGCTGTCTGTGGGAATGTTGGTCTCGGGTGGGGTTGGGGGCCCGGGGGGGGGGGTGTGGGGGGCGGCCCGGGGGGGGCGGGGTGTGGGGGGCGGCCCCGGGGTGTGGGGGGGCGGGGGTGTGGGGGGGCGGGGGTGTGGGGGGGCGGCCCCGGGGTGTGGGGGGGTGTGGGGGGCGGCCCCGGGGGGCGGGTGGTGTGGGGGGCGGCCCCGGGGGGGCGGGGTGTGGGGGGCGGCCCCGGGGGTGTGGGGGTGTGGGGGGGCGGCCCCGGGGGGGCGGGGGTGTGGGGGGGCGGGGGGGCGGCCCCGGGGGGCGGGGTGTGGGGGGCGGCCCCGGGGGGCGGGGTGTGGGGGGGCGGCCCCGGGGGGCGGGGGTGTGGGGGGGGGGGGCGGCCCCGGGGGGGGGGGGTGTGGGGGGGCGGCCCGGGGGGGCGGGGGTGTGGGGGGGGCGGCCCGGGGGGGCGGGGTGTGGGGGTGTGGGGGGGGCGGCCCCGAGCCGCGGGGCCTGTGCTCGGGCTCACGGTGTGTTTGGGCCGCTTCTCTGCCCCACACACACCCCCACACACACACACACACACATACACACACCCACACACACATCCACACACACACACACCCACACACAGACACACACACCCACACACACACACACCCACACACAGACACACACACATCCACACACATACACCCACACACACAGACACAGACACTCATACACACAGACACACACACAGACAGACACACAGACACAAACACACCCACACAAAGACACACACAGACACCCACACACACGCAGACACACACACACCTACACAGATAGACACACACACCCACACAAACAGACACACACACACACACAGACAGTCCCACACACGCAGACAGACACACACACAGACACACACACACTCACACACACACAGACATTCATAAACATACACAAACACACAGACAATCATACACACTCACACACACAAACGCACACAATCATACACATTCTCACATAAACACACACACTTGCATACACACTCTCACACACACAGACAATCATACGCACTCTCACACACAAACAAACACACAACCAGACACACACACAGACAATCAGACACACTCACACACACACATTCATACGCACTCACACACACAAAAACACACAGATAATCATACACACTCACAGGCGCACAAACACACAGACAATCATACACATTCACACACAGACAATCAATCACACACACAATCATACACACTCACACACCAACAATCATACACACTCACACACACAAAAACACACAAATCAATCGTACACACACACAAAAACACAAAACAATCACACTCACACACAATCATACACACTCACACACACAAAAACACACAAATCAATCGTACACACACACAAAAACACAAAACAATCATACACACACACACAGGCAATTATTCACACACACAAACATATACAGACAATCACACACTCACACAAACAATCAAACACACACACACAATCATACACACACACGAAAACACACAGACAATAATACGCATACGCAGACAATCATACACACACACACAGACACACATGACAATCACCCACTCTCACACAAACAATCATGTACAGTCTCACACACAGACAACAGACAATACACCCCCTCTCACACACAGACAATTGTACACATTCACACACACAATTATATGCATTCTCACACACACACAAAACCATACACACTCTCACACACACAAACAGACACAAACTATCACACACACTTCTCACACACACCGCACACAAAATACATGGACACAAACACTCAGACAATCATACACACTTACACATACACCCAATTATATACACTCACACACAATTATGCACACTCACACACACACAAAGACACATATAATCATACATTATCTAACACACACACAAACATATACAATCATACACACTCACACAAACACACACACATAAACACACAATCATTCACATTCATATACACAAACAGTCAAATGCACACTCACACAGAAACACATACAACAATCGTTCACACACTCACACACGCAAACGCCCACACAATCATACACACTCGCACACATACACAAACACACACACACTCATCCACAATGACAGCTTCAGTACAGAATCAGGACATTTAGCCTTTTATAATAGCACTGCTCTTAGGTTTCCTCTTTTGCCTTTTTAAATTAATTCTCCTTTTCAGCTATGCCTTTATACTGTATTACTTAATGTTTACTACTCAGGTTCTCAGCCAATTCCCTATGGAATAAATACATTGAGTGACCAAATTATTATTATTTATATATTTTTTAAGGGTTTATGACCCCTGGAAAAGCGATCCGCCAACTGACTAACAACCAGGTTTTGATTTACCGTTAGGTAAACAGAGGCGTGTGGAGTAAGGAAACTTGCCCTGTTGGGAATTGAACCCAAGTTCTCTTGCTTGCAAGGCGAGTGCTCTAACTACTAAGCTACAGGACTCCATGATACCTTCATGTAGGCTTACACATAGCGTAGTAAAGCTTTATTCTGGGTACCTACGTCTGCACACAATCATAGAGACATCCTCAATCTCGGCAACAAGAGTGTTTCCTAAACTGTGTAACCAGACTATGAGGTGTGGCCTGTGCATGTTTCTGAGTTAGAGGGACCTGACTATCTCTGTCGCAGAGGTAGCACCATAAACAAGAACATTTGCCCACTTTTCATCTGTCTATCTAACCTCCTGGAATCTTAGCTCTTTATCTCAGCCTATGGTCACTTCCCTCCTCCCCTCTCCAAAACCCCTCTGCTCAGTCTGTGTCTGTTACAGATTCTGTAAAGTGCTTCAAGATGTTACTCTATAAGAAAAGCGCTATGTAAATTCAGGTTGTTGTAGGAACATCTCAAAGGTGGGCCTCACACCTCAGACACAGCTTCTCATGGATTCAAAATCCACATTGCAGGTGTTGAAAGGTATTGCTGTATTTCAGGACAGATGTGGAGGATGTGCATGCAGGATAAACACAGCGATGTATAGACGGGACTATATGGTAATCTGCTTCCTGTCATAAGATGGTTTCTGTATGAGTGACAAATCTGCTTTCACACTGACTGGCGGTTCATCTGCTCTTAGACTTCATGAGGAACAGATGGCAGGGAATCCCTCCTGATGTGTGGAATGCCACTGAGCCCAGGTACGTGTCATTGCACAGCAGTCCGTCGATGTCGTTAGTATATTTGCTATAGTATAGTATACTGGGATATTATATGGGACGATACTGTATATGTTGTAAAGAATAGTATATTGGGATAGTAATAATAATAATAACCCTGGCATTTGATATAGTGCTTTTCACGTCGGGAGGACGTCCCAAAGCGCTTCACAGAACACACTGTAAAGTGAATTGACTGTATATTTGTGGGCGAACGCCGCAGCCAATTGCGCACAGCAATGTCCCACAAACAGTCGTAGATTGAAATTACCAATTTATTATTGTTTTTGGTTTTGGAGGGATTATTTAGGGATAGGATATTGGATAGTATAATTTGCGTATTATTTGAACCATTATTTAGAACAATATGTAGGTTATTGTGTAAGAACATCGCATTGAGGTAGTATAGGGGCTGGTATATTTGGGCTGAGATTGGTAGCCAATTAATTAATTAGTAGCCAAATCCTTGAATGTCCAGTGCCTTCGGAAGTGCTTCTGACGTGAAAGCCACTAGACAAATGTAATTTTGTATTGAAATTTGAATTTGAGGATAAATTAGAATGAGAAGGGGAATATAGGTAGTAAATTACATCTAATCTAAGCTTTCCAAACATTTTGCCTTGTAATGTAAGATCACGCAGAATTGTGTAAAATTCTTCAATTCAATCTCAATTAGAAGCCAATTTTCTTTAAGGATTGCTGAAAATGAGTTTTCAATCTATCACAAGACAAAATAATCTTGTAGGTTAAGACTAGGTGGAATTTCAGGACTCATATCACCTTGAAATAATAATAATCTTTGCATTTGAAATAGCGCTTTATCACTTCTTTGAGATATCTAAAAGCGCTTCACAGAATATACTATAAAGTAAAGTGACCGTGTATTTTGTGGGTGAAATGCCCCTGGAGTTGCAGTTTGTAACAAATTGTTCTCAGATCTTGGAGATACCATCTCCAAATTGATTTGTTGTGGTGAGGAAGCACCTATGGCTGCCCACTTGCTTCCACACCTGATCAAGGTTGCTGTCACTTCCTGCCCACTTCCCTCTGATGATGTTGAACATGGTGGCAGCCTGGCTCAGTTGGCAGCACTCTTTACCTCTGTGTCACAAGGTTGTGCGTTCAACCCCACGTTGGGACTTGGAACCCATATATTCAATGCAAATGCTCTTAAACCTGCACTTTAATGTCTGTTTCCTCTTTGACCGTGCTTATGGTCACTTCCTCCCTCTCCCCGGCTCAGCATCAGCCTCTGCCACTGTTTAGCGCTTTGAGACCCTTCCCCATGTGGTGGGCGCTATATAAATGCAAGTTGCTGTTGTTCACAGTACTCCAGGTCACTGCTGATGACATTCCAGTTCACCCTGGCTCATCGGCGGGACTTGGAGGGGACAAGTCTGTCAATGAGGGCAGGGATTCTTCCCACTCAGATTCCCAAGCAGTGGGAAGCTTTCAATTACAAGCTTTGTTGTTTTAGCTGGTTAATCTCCAGGAGTGCCCCATCCTCCACTTTGGGGTCATCAAGCCTTGGCTCTTGCCATCCATGTGCCTCTGTGTCACGCCCACTCCCAGGTTCCCCTATGCCAGTTCTCGCACTGATCTCTGCTCAATGTGGTCTGTTTGCTTTCAGTGTCTGAATTGAACATGCCAACTTTGGCCTCTGGTGCTGTCTCCGTGTGAGAGATGAGAGATGGACAACGAAGTCAGAGTGTCCGACCTGATCGGCCGATTTGAAGAGATCCGGTAAATGGACAGAGCATCATGGGCTGGGGAGGGGCCGGGTTCTGTTAATCAGTGACCACATTACAATGTAACCTGATTGACACAAGGTGGAGTGAGTTTGTGTAGGAAACCTCGGGCAAGTTTCTTTCCTCCAAACGCCTAATAATAATCCCTCCAAAAAACACTACAATAATAAAATTGGTCATTTTCAATCCACGACTGTTTGTGGGACATTGCTGTGCGCAATTGGCTGCTGCGTTTCACCCACAAATATACAGTCAATTCACTTTACAGTCTATTCTGTGAAGCGCTTTGAGACGTCGAGAAGACATGAAAAGCGCTATATCAAATGCAAGGATTATTATTTATATTATTATTATATCTGCATGAGACTGATGGGGTCAGTATGTGTAGCAGAGTGTGTCTTAGTAACAGGATTGTGTCTCGTGTTCTCTTGTGGCATAAGGTGGTCCACAAACACAGTCACACCATGTTACAATATATCCTGTGAAGCGCCTTGAGACGTCTCGGCGACTTGAAAAGGAGCTGTATCAAATGCAAAGTTTTCTTTATTATACATACTGCACCAGGACAGCACAAATAGTATTAATCCTTACATTTAGCTCCAATGCAACTTACTCGATCTTCCAATAAGATGTTAAACCAAAATCCTATCTGCCTGTTCATGGTACTATTCAAAAAGAGAAGGGAGTTTCTCTCTCCCGGAGTCCTGGTCAACAATCCCCCCAAATAAAATTGTTCACTCACTGTTTGTGGGACACTGCTGGACGCAATTGTGCTGCAACATTCACCTACAAATATCCAGTCACTGCCTTTCACAGTAAATCGTGTGAAGCGCTTTGAGTTCACCTTCTGACGTGATAAGGCGCTACATCAAATGAAAGGATTATTATTACTATTATCAACATTCACTCTATGGCTGTTTGTGGCTGACATTGCTGTGCACAAATTAAGTAGTGCATTTGCCTACAATTACAGTCACTACACTTCACTGTAAAACCTGTGAAGCGCTTTGAGAAGTTTCAATCGATAATGTGCTATGAATGGGCAAGTTCTTTCTTTCTAGTTATGGTATTTTCCTGCCTAAAGATACAGAGGAGTCATCCTGTATGAAACTAAGGGTAATTTCTCTGCGCACTGAGGCCCCCTTTGCCCGGCCCACAGAGTCAATGCAGGGCTATGAGAGAGGTACTTGGGGAAGTGCCTGTGTGACCACATGCAGTACCAAATGAGTCTGCTTGAAGTGGAAAGCGGATGTGCTGACACCCTGTATTTGTGAGGGGGCTCTGATCCTGAATCACTATGAATGTTTAGATGTTTCGAAGTTTACAGTTTCAGAAGAGCTGGATCTAAAACATTATATAATTTGGTCACTCAATCCATGACTGTTTGTGGGGGACGCTGCTGTACACAATTGGCTGCCACGTTTTGCCCACAAAATATACAGTTAATTCACTTTACAGTATATCCTGTAAAGCACTTTGAGACGTTTCAAAGACGTGATAAGGAGCCATATCAAATGCAAGGATTATTATTGTTGTGTGAGCGGGGGAACAAGAGTGGAAAAGAGCTTCCAATTCAACCCCACTCCCCCCTCTCTCCCCCCATAGCCCTGATCAACCCCACTCCCCCTCTCTCCCCCCATAGCCCTGATCAACCCCACTGCCCCGCTCTCTCCCCATAGCCCTTATCAACCCCACTCCCCCGCTCTCTCCCCATAGCCCTGCAACTTGTCCTCCCCAAATAATGATCTACTTCTCTCTTAAAAGTTGTTATCGAATCGGCTTCCACCGGCCTTTCAGGCAATGCATTCCAGATCCCAACAACTCTCTGTGTGAAAACATTTCTCCCCTCCCCTCTGTTTCTTTTAAGAACTTTTTNAAATCAGTGCCCTCGGGTTACCGACCCTCCCGACAGTGGGAATAGTTTCTCCTTCTTCACCCTATCGAATCCCCTCATTATTTTAAAAACTTCTATTCAGTCTCCTCTTACCCTTCTCTGCTCCAAGGAGCATAATCCCAGCTTCTCTATGTCTCCTGATAACTGACGCCCCTCATTCCTGGTACCATCCTGGTCAATCTCCTTTGCTCCCTCTCCAATGCCTTGACATCCTTCCTAAAGTGCGGGGCCCAGAACTGCACACAGTCTCTCGCTGAGGCCTAACCAGTGTTTTATATAAAGGTTCATCATAACTTCCTGACTTGTGTATTCCATGCTCCTATTTATATGTACTTGTGTGGATGTGTGTATGTATATATATATGTGTGTGTATGTGTGTGTGGTGTGTGTATATGTATGTGTGTATGTGTTTATGTGTGTATGTATATATATATGTGTGTGTGTGTGTGTATGTATGTGTGTGTATGTGTGTGTGTATGATTGTGTGTGTATATATGTGTGTTTATATGATTGTGTGTGTATATATGTGTGTGTGGAGTGTGTATATGTATGTGTGTGTGTGGTTCAGACTTTAATTCAGGATTGCTGTCCATCTGTGGAAATCCGGTTTGTGTTTTCAATCCCAGCTGACCCCCGACTGTTCAGCGCCTTGGGACGTCCTCCCGATGTGAAAGGTGCTTATCAAATGTAATTTTGTTGTTGTAAAAACAAAACTGATTGCACATCTACTCCAACTCATTCTTCCCCTGAATCTCGAGTTTCCCCTCAGTTTCTAATTCCTCCTGCAGGGTGGAATCATCTAACCACCACATATTCACTTCTGCTTATTTCAGCTGCAGGAATGTCCCGTCTTGTTACTTTGGCATTTCACTTATTTTCTTCTTTAATAATAAAAGCTTCAACTTTTATTATCATTAAATCCCCTCCAATATTATTATTATAATAATAATAATCCTTGTATTTTGATACCGCGCTTTTCACATCTTCGAGGCATTTCAAAGCGCTTCACAGAATGTACTGTAAAGTGAATTGGCTGTATATTTGTGGGCAAAACACGGCAGCCAATTGCGCACAGCAATGTCCCACAAATAGTCGTGGATTGAGTGAGCAAATTTTTTTTTGGAGGATTATTATGCCCAGAAAAGCCAATGACTTAACAACCAGATCCTACTTAATGCTGAGTAAACAGAGGCGTGTGGAGTAAGCAAACTTGTCTCAGGGTTTGTTCCACCTGGGAAATGAACCCAGATCCTCTCGCTTGCGAGGCGAGTGCTCTAACCATTATGTTACAAGGAATAGAGGCATCTGAATGACTTCAGGTGTGAAGGGAAGATATTCTCAACAAATGCAAATACACTGAAAAGAGAGAACTTGCACTTTTATCATCAACAAGTGCTAATTGCTTTTAAGTGAACCATTCTCTACAAGGCAAAGTCCCCCAAATAAGCATGAGGCGAGTATATTAATAATCCTTACATTTCATACAGAGCCTTTCATGTCGGGAGAATGTGTTAAAAGCTCACAGGATGTAAAGAGATATCCATAGGATATACTGTAAAGTAATGTAACTGTGTGTATGTATGTGTGTACGTGTGAATATATGTGTGACAATTCCTCACTCCACAAGCTGCCAAAACCCTTGTTCATGCCTTCGTCACCTCTCAGCTTGACTACTCAATTGTCCTCCTCACTGGTCTTGCCTCCTCCACTATTCACAAAATTCAACTCAACCATAACTCCAGGTGTGTGTGTGTGTGTATACGTGTGTGGGTGATTTATGTGAAGAATAGTCGGCTAGGACACTGGGAGAAAATATATTCTCTCTCTTTGACAACAGCATCATAACATTAACTTCCACTTGAACAGACAGATGAGACCTTGGTTTAAAGTCTAGAGTGTAGCAACATCTCAGTGTTCCTTAAGACCTCCACTGGAGATTCAGCTTAAAGTCCTTGACCAGTTACAATGCAGTTCTACTTTATGGATATAACTCTTTCTGAACAGGGTTTCTGAGACTGCACAGCACAAAGGGAAGCCTCACAAGGACCTGAATTGTACCAATGCGGACCGTTCCCCAGATACAGATGGAGAAGCAATGCCGTCCATTCCCTTCCATTCTCCTCTGCAGCTACACTCAGCTCAAGCCCTGCTGGCTACAGCTGTTGAGCCTGACCAAAGAGGGGAAACAGCTGTGGGAAATCAGGAACTAGAGATCGAGGGACGTGGACTCCCAAACCCAGGACTGGGTGTGGAGGGCAAGGGGCCTGACAGCAGAGAAAACTCCATCTCATTTCCTGACCTGCCCGCCACCCAGGCTCGATGGAGGAAAATATCTCGAACATTTCGACCAATCTCTCAAACACTGAGAAGTTCCCAGATCACACACATGGAAGAGGCAGCCCCGGTTGGAAAGGACCTGCACAAGGTAAGGCTGTCACTGTGCCCTTCCCCGCACTCATTCAGTCACAGCTGTTCAACACTTGCTACCTGAAATGTTGTGTTAGCGTGTGTGTTAGACCATCAGTGGTTTGTGCCAGGCATAGTGTCAGTCACATGTGTCAGGCGTGGTGGTATCAGTGGTTTGAGCCAGTTATGGTATCAATGGCATGAGCCGGTCTATAAGCTTTGCGCTCTGTCTGTGAACCCTGGGGTAGAGATGTCTGACTCACAAGCTTAGAATCACAGCCATTACAACACAGGAGGAGAACAATCAATCCATTAAATCTAAACTGGTGCTAACTTGTTCACTGAAGCTAACTATTCGCTCCCAGTTGCCTGCATTTCCCCTGTACCCCAGGATATTCATCCTCTTCAAATTTTTATACAATTGCTCTCAAAAGCCACTTTTGGCAAGCAATCAGGCTTCCAAGAATAATGATCCTTGCATTTTGGTATAGCGCCTTATCACGTTGTCATCTCAAAATGCTTTACAGGAATGTACAATAGCAGCCTATTTGCGCACATCACAGCAACAATCATGAAAAAATTCCTCTGCATTAAAAGATTTTTTATTACCAATTTCCCTTCCAGTGACAATCCTGAGTTTGTCTCTTGTCAACATCCATCCGCCAGTGGTAATAATCTCTCTCCATATAATCTTAAAGATTGAAGGTCTCTATTAAGTTTCCCTCTTACCTTTCTCTGATCCAGAGGAAACAGACCTGATATTTTGAGCCTGTCCTCAGAGCTTTCATCTCTGTGAAGCTGCTCTGCTCATTGCAGTTTGTGTCTGTGTAGGAAAGCAGCAAAGAGAAGCTGTTTAAAATAGCTACAGAGCTGCTGCAGACAGAGGAGGCTTATGTGAGCCGGCTGCACCTGGTGGATCAGGTGAGCACAAGCGCAGCATTGGTGTGCAGCAAACACACCAGCACATTCCAGCGCACACACATGCCAGCGCACACACATGCCAGCGCACACACATGCCAGCGCACACACATGCCAGCGCACACACATGCCAGCGCACACACATGCCAGCGCACACACATGCCAGCGCACACACATGCCAGCGCACACACATCACACCATCCTAACTATTTAATGTGCACACCAGAATGCACCCACTGAAAACAACATCAACAACAACAACTTGCATTTATATAGTGCCCTCCACTCCGGACGGAGTCTCAGAGCGCTCTACAGTAACAGATCCCAGGACCCAGCCATGGGGGGAGGGGGAGGAGCCAGGGGCAGGGGAGGGGCCAGGGGTGGAACCAGGGGGAGGAGTCAAGGGCGGGACCAGGGGAGGGGGAGGAGTCAGGGGAAAGACCATGGGGCGGGGTCAAGGGGAAGGGAGGAGCCAGGGGAGGGGCCTGAGGAGGAGCCAGGGGAGGGGAGGAGCCAGGGGAGGGGAGGAGCCAGGGGAGGGGAGGAGCCAGGGGAGGGGAGGAGCCAGGGGAGGGGGAGGGGGAGAATACAAGGGTGAGAATCTTCAAGTGGATCCTCTCTGGGACAGGAGCCAGTGCAGTCTGGCCAGCACTGGGGGGATCGGGGAGTGGGGTTTGGGGGTGGGGTCAGCACTGGGGGGATCGGGGAGTGGGGTTTGGGGGTGGGGGAGGACGGGTGGGGCCAGGACTGGGGGGATCGGGGAGTGGGGTTTGGGGGTGGGGGAGGACGGGTGGGGCCAGGACTGGGGGGATCGGGGAGTGGGGTTTGGGGGTGGGGGAGGACGGGTGGGGCCAGGACTGGGGGGATCGGGGAGTGAGGTTTGGGGGTGGGGGAGGACGGGTGGGGCCAGGACTGGGGGGATCGGGGAGTGGGGTTTGGGGGTGGGGGAGGACGGGTGGGGCCAGTACTGGGGGGATCGGGGAGCGGAGTTTCGTGCGGGTGAGAATGCGGGCGGCAGAGTTTTGAATGATTTGGATTTTATGGATGGCAGTGGACACACACATACCCACAGACCAGCACACATCAGCTCACACTGGTAAATAATTGACAGCCTACAGACTTACCTACACTCGTGCGAATGTTTGCCGACTGATTCTTGACAACCCCGTGGGCCGCCACAGGTTGGCCACCATTGGTGTATTGGAAAGTGTTGTTTGCGGCTCTTTGGGACGTGAGAGGTGCTATACAAATGTAATTTTGTTGTTGTTGTTTCGGGTTTATTTCCTCAATCTAATTTAGCATCAGGTGCTCTATTCCTCTTTTGCACCATGAGAATGTGTCTCAAGTCTCTTGTGATGGCAGGTTTTCTGCGTTGAGCTCATGAAGGAAGCCAAGACTGGAAACACCTTTCCGGAGGAAGTGGTGAAGAACATCTTCTCCAACATTTCTTCCATTTATCTCTTCCACAAGCAGTTCTTCCTGCCGGAGCTGGACAAGAGGATGCAGGAATGGTGAGATAACTGTCCCACGGGAAACAAAGCCTTACCCTTTTTTCAGGGCTGATGGTTCAAAGGTTCTTGTGGATTCTAGAGTTGCTGGTTGTGGATTGTGTGTTCTGGAGCTTCACAGCATTGTGCCCTGGAGTTAGCAGGTAATGTGCTGAACCTCTCTAAACATTGGATTATCAGATTATTCAGTAATGTTCTCAATACATGTTTATTTGAGCAATGTGTTTTATATTGGAGAGTAATTTATTTGAAAGGTTCTGTAATACCTTTGTGTTATTCGAGAAAACACCTATAACATTGAAATGACTCAAAGTGCTTCACAAAGAATATCAAGTATAGAGATTGTTTTTTGTCAGCACACTGAGACACCCATTTTTGCATTAGGTAATTAGGTAAATGATCAATTAATCTGAGAATTATTCACTAGAACAACAATAACTTGCATTTATATAGCGCCATTCACAGCATCTTGGCAAGCTTAACAGTGGCGTAGCCCGTTGATGTGCCAGGGGAGGGGTAAGGTGACCGTTAATAATAATAATCCTTGCATTTGATATAACTCTTTTCACGTCGGGAGGACGTCCCAAAGCGCTTCACAGAACACACTGTAAAGTGAATTGACTGTATATTTGTGGGCGAACGCGGCAGCCAATTGCGCACAGCAATGTCCCACAAACAGTCGTAGATTGAAAATGACCAATTTATTATTGTTTGGTTTTGGAGGGATTATTATTAGGCTCTGTGTGGAGTAAGGAAACTTGCCCAAGGTTTCGCCTGGAATTGAACTCAGGTCTCTCACTTGCAAAGCGAGTGCTCTAACCACTGAGCTACAGGACTCCACCGTTGGCACAGTCGAAGAGGAAGGTCTTCAAGTGTGACCTGAAAACGGAGAGAGAGGGGCAAGGCAAAGGGATTGAGAGAGAAAGCATGGCCGCCGTTGGTGGGGAGGAGGGTGAGTCTTAGGGCGAGATTGGGGAGGGTGAGGAGGTGGGGGAGGGTGAGGAGGTGGGGGAGGGTGAGGAGGTGGGGGAGAGTGAGGAGGTCGGGGAGAGTGAGGAGGTCGGGGAGTGAGGAGGTCGGGGAGAGTGAGGAGGTCGGAAGAGTGAGGAGGTCTGAACCACATGAGAGAAGACGGACCTTGACTGAAGCCAAAAGGTGTGGCTTCGTTCTTATCAACGTTCAGCTGCAGGAAGTTTGCGCTCATCCAGCCATTGATGACTATCAGACAAGCTGACCGAACATCAGCAGACTGGGAGTCATGGCTGGAGGAAGAGAAGTAGATTTGTGTGCCATCCGCATACATGTGGAAGTTTACCCTGTGTCTGTGGGTGACATTGACAAAAGGGAGTATATAGATGAGGAAAAGAAAAGAATTTTGGGGTACCCTACAGGTGCCCGGGTGGGGGTGAGAGGAAAAACCACAAAGTGTTGGCTGTTGGTTAAGTACTTGAATCATGGCAGTGAGGTCCCACTAAGGTGGATAAAAGGGAGGAGAGGAAATGGAGGAGGATGGCGTGGTCAACTGTGTGCTGAAACCCTAGTTCACGCCTTTGTCACCTCAAGGCTGGACTATGGGAACTCTCTCCTCGCCGGCCTTCCCGCCACCTCCCTCCACAAGCTGCAGGTCATTCAGAACTCTGCAGCTCGTGTACTGTCCCGCACCAGACACCGCGACCACATCACTCCCACCCTCGCTCCCCTCCACTGGCTCCCCATCCCCCAGAGGATTGATTTCAAGATCCTCATCCTCACCTACAAGGCCATTCACGGCCTTGCTCCCTCCTACCTCTCCAACCTACTATCCCCCTACCTACCTGCCCGTACCCTCCGTTCCTCTGGCTCCGGTCTGCTCCACGTCCCCCGCCCCAACCGCCCTACCATCGGTGGTTGGGCCTTCAGCCTCTCAGCCCCCAGGCTCTGGAACTCCATCCCCCAGTGCCTTCGCCGCTTCCTCCCTTTCCTCCTTCAAGGCCGGTCTCAAAACCTTTCTCTTTGACCGAGCCTTCAGCTCCCCTCTCGACTCTCTTCCCCCTCCTCGCTCCCTCCCTTCCCTCCCCTCACCCTGACCATTTCCCCCCTCCTCGCTCCCTCCCTTCCCTCCCCTCACCCTGACCATTTCCCCCCTCCTCGCTCCCTCCCTTCCCTCCCCTCACCCTGACCATTTCCCCCCTCCTCGCTCCCTCCCTTCCCTCCCCTCACCCTGACCATTTCCCCCCTCCTCGCTCCCTCCCTTCCCTCCCTCACCCTGACCATTTCCCCCCTGCTCGGGTCATGACCCAACTGTGCAGCGCCTTGGGACGTCCTCCTGACGTGAAAGGCGCTTTATAAATGGAATCTTGTTGTTGTTGTTGTTGAGAGGTCCAGCAGGCTGAGGAGGCAGAGGAAGTCCTGGTCACAGAGAGCGAGGACGTCATATGTTATTTTGATGAGCGCTGACTCTGTGCTGTGGGTAGGGCGGAAACCGGACTAGAGGGGTTTGAGTAAGAAATTTATTTGACAGTTGTTCACTAAAACACCAAGATCTTTCAAACTCCCTTCATCTTTCAAATAAACCATCACATAAAAGATTTGGATGAAGAAGGTCCTTTGGTCCATTTGATCTCAGGTTTATCAGCCTGGCTGAGTGGTAGTGCTCTCACCTCTGAGTCAGAAGGTTATAGGTTCAAGCCCCATGTCGGGACTTGGAATCACACGGTCTAAGCTGATGCCCCAATGCAGTGCCGGGGCATGTGTTTCATTGTCAGAGTTCCCTCCTTTGGATGACATGTTAAACCAAGCTCTGCCTGGTTCAGGTGGATGTTAAAGGTCATGTGGTCATGTGGCACTACTTGAAAACAGAAGGGAGTTTCTCCAGGTGTCTTAGCCAACAATCCCCAAACAAAATTAGTCACTCACTCTATGGCTGTTTGTGGGACATTGATGTGCTCAACTGGCTGCCACGTTTTGCCCACAAAATATAGTCACTGCATGATACAGTATATATGAAATATATACAGTATGTGCTACAGAACATATTCAAGACTGAGATCGATAGATTTTTTTAAAACTAAAGGGATTAAGGGATATGGGAATAGGGCTGGTAAATGGAATTAGGTTAGAAGATCAGCCATGATCTTAATAAATGGCGGGGCAGGCGTGAGGGGCCGAATGGCCTACTCCTGCTCCTAATTCTTATGTTCCTATGTTTATGTTCTTATATACTGTGAAGCATTTTGAGGAATCTCAACTTCGTGTTAAGGCACTGTGTCAAATGCAAGGATTATTATTTTTATTATCTTTTCACATTACCATCTGTACACATTTCACCTACAATATATTTGGCAATATAAGCTGATAGTACAATCTTACAGGGGGTGAAGGAACAGGGAGACCTGGGGGTCATATAAGTATATCTTTGAAGGTGGCCGGACAGGCAGATAAAGTTGTTAAAAAGCATCCGGGATACTAGGCTTTATAAATAGGGGCATAGAATACACAAGTCAGGAAGTTATGATGATCCTTTACATAAATAACTGGTTAGACCTCAGCTCGAGACTGGGTTCAGTTCTGGGCCCCACACTTTAGGAAGGATGTCAAGGCATTGGAGAGGGTGCAAAGGAGATTGACCAGGATGGTACCAGGAAAGAGGGACTTCAGTTATCAGGAGAGGCGAGAGAAGCCAGGATTATTCTCCTTGGAGCAGACAATGTTAATGGAGATTTAATAGAGGTGTACAAAAGGGGATTCCATAGGGTGAAGAAGGAGCAACTATTCCCACTGGCGGGAGGGTCGGTAACCCGAGGGCACTGATTTAAAATAGTTGTTAAAAGAAACAGAGGGGAGGGGAGGAGAAATGTTTTCACACAGCGAGTTGTTGGGATCTGGAATGCATTGCCTGAAAGGCCGGTGGGAACCGATTCGATAACTTATTTTAAGAGAGAAGTAAATCATTATTTGGAGAGAACAAGTTTGCAGGGCTATGGGGAGAGAGCGGGGGAGTGGGGTTGAATTGGATAGCCCTTTTCAAAGCGTTGGCACAGACACGATGGGCCGAATGGCCTCCTTCTGTGCTGTATAATTCTACAATTTTATAATGTACAGTCAATTCACTTTACAGTAGAAGCGCTTTGAGACGTCTCGAAAACATGATAAGGCGCTTCATCAAATTCAAGGATTATATTATTATTACCCATTAGAGCATCGAGCTGTGTCCTGGCCTCATCCACTTTTTCCAATAATCTGTTTCCAGTTGTTAATTCTTTTTGAATAGAGAAATACTTCCTGGCACCTGTCCTGAAATTGCTCTTCACAATCTGAGCCTTTGCCCGCTCGTCCTGCTGGTTGTCTGATCTGAAATTATTGTTCTGAATTTAATTTCTCAATCACATTTAACATATTATATGAGATACCATTTTTCAAGGCTGAAGAGCCCAGGCTTATCTCATCGTTCACATTGATGCCATTGTGGTTGTACATAAGAAATGGAGCAGTTCATTTAGATTATTTAGTTGTTCCTCTTAACTCATCTCTCCAACATTGGGGATACGTCCTGGTGACATGGGGTAAACTTCCACATGTAGGCAGATCTCTCCCCCCAATCTGATGAGGCACTCGTGGCATGTTAGTGTCTGGGTTTATCTGGCTTTACAGATCTTTGGTTAACATTCTTGGGATTGGGTTTGAAAGAGAGAAGTTATGCTCGAGTTGTGAGATGGAATGAGCTGGTCGTTTAACATGAGGGTTGAAACCTAATGCTCTGCTCTGTCTTCCCGCGCTCCGCCCCCACCTGCCCCCTCCCCCTCCCCCACTCCCCTCCCCCCCCCCCCCCCCCCCCCCCCCCACACACACACTCCAGGGCTGTTAAACCCAGAATCGGTGACGTTTTACACAAACTGGCACCATTCTTAAAGATGTACGGGGAATACGTGAAGAACTTTGACAAGGCAATGGACTTGCTGGACACCATGCTGGAGAAGTGCCAGCCCTTTCGGGAAATTATTCAGGAGATCCAGGTAAGGGTGGACAGGAGTGTGGCTTCACATAGCAAGACAACCAGATAGCTTTCTGCTAGATTATGAAGATCAAGATGTAGATAACAGGTTTTTGTGGATCGGTAAATTCTGTGACTAGCCTCAACAAGACAATGGTGAAGCGAGCAGGTGGTTCCATCGACAATGTGAACTTGGCTTACTTAGGATTTTCTTGCCTCTGGATCAGAAGGCTGTGGGTTCAGGAATTTGACTTCATAGTTTAGGTTAACATTCCAGTGCAAGCCTGGAGAGTGCTGCATTATCAAAGGTGCCATCCTTTGAATGAGATGTTAATCCAATGTTCTGGCAATCTGTTCAGGTCAGGGTTCAAGAGATTCCAAGAGAATATCCCAAGAAGGAGTTTCTCCCATTGACCTGGCCAACAACTCTTCAAAGAACTTTCCCTGGACCCATCCCTGCTCTCCAACTGCCACCCCATCTCCAACCTTCCTTTCCTTTCCAAGATCTTGGAATGAGACATTGCTTAGCAGTTTTACTCTTCCCTCTCCTGTCACTCCTTATACAAACCCCTCCAATTGGGTTTCCGTGCGGCACACATCACAGAAACAGCTTTGGTCAATGACAAATGACATTTTGTCAATTTGCGACCAGGGCTCCCTCTGCCTCCTCATCCTCCTTGACCTCTCTGCTGCCTTTGATACAGTTGACCACTCTATCCTCATCCACTGCCTCTCCTCTCACTTCAACTTTCATTGACCTGTCCTTGAATGGTTCAGATCCTACCTCTCACACCATCTCCACTTTGTCTCCACAAATGGCTTCTCCTCCAGCCCCCACACAGTCTCGTGCGGCATTCCTCAGGACTGTGTCCTTGGTCTTCTCTTCAATATCTACGTGCTCCCTCTTGGTGACATCATCCGCAGACATGGGGTCAACTTCCACATGTATGCGGATGACACCCAACTCTGCCTCCACCCTTGATTCCAGGATCACTGCTGTCCTGACAGAACGTCTGTCAGACATTAAGTCCTGGATGAGAGATAACTTTCTACAGTTGAATGTCAGCAAGACCGAGGCTCTCCTGATTGGCTCCTGTCAGCACCTCTACAACTCAGGCACTGGCAGCATTACCATCCAAAAATTCACACTCCATCTCACTGAGGGCATAGGCAGTGATTGTGGGGTAGGGCAATGGAGTAGATGAGCTTGTGTGGGAGGGGTGGGGTAGGCAGAACTTGTGGGGAGATGGAATGGGGTAAGTGGAACTTGTGGGGGAGGGTGGAGGAGGGATGGGGTGGTGGCACTGACTTGCCATGTGTCCGTTATGTAGAAAAAGGAGATGTGTGGCAGCCTGTCACTGCAGCACCACATGCTGGAGCCGGTGCAGCGCGTCCCCCGATACCAGCTCCTCCTGAAGGACTACGTGAAGAAACTACCCCAGGATTCGCCGGACAGGAGCGATGCTGAAAGTGAGCAACAAGGAGACTTTCCAACTCTTATCTCATTGGAAATGTGAATTTCTGCAATAAGGCATCAAGCCATGACTTGATGAACAACAACTTGGATTTATATAGTGCCTCTCATGCAGGGTAGCGTCCCAGTGGCAGAGATTGACGCCGAGCCGGGGGGAGGGGCGGTCTTTACAGGCGACCTGAAGATGGGGAAGGTGGGGACAAGGCGGAGGAATAGAGGAAGTGTGTCCCAGAGTTTCAGGGCATAGTGGCTGAAAACAAAGCCTCCAATGGTGGAACGGAGGGCACGAGGGACATGCAGGAGGCTGGAGCCAGTTGAGCAGAGGCAGTGGGTTGTGGGTTGGGGGATGAGCAGGTCGGAAAGGTAGGAAGGTGCCAGGGCATGGTGGGATTTGAAAACGAGTGTGAGGATCTTAAAATTGATTCGTTCGACGATAGGGAACCAGTAGAGCCTGGCGAGGATTGGCGTGCTGATCAGGGACTGTAACCTGCTGTTTCCATAAAGACTAACTCATTTCCCCATCCCACCCTGCTCTTCCCTGCCCCGCCCTGCTCAACCTCACCCTGCCCCATGCTATCCCGCACCACCCTGCCCCGCCCCACTACACCCTGCCTCCCCTGCCCACCCCCACCATTGGCAGACTGGTCTTCAGACTCCCTGCCCCACTTCTGGAACTCCATTCCCGAATCCCTCCGTCTCGTCCCCTCCCTCTCCTCCAAGGCCTGTTTTCAAGACCTTCCTCTTTGACTGAACCTTCAGCCACCCCTACCCTCCCCCTCTTTTGATTCCAACCTCCAGCTTGGGTGTAAATCCTTAACTGTCTGGTGGCCACGGGTCATCCTTCCGACGTGAAAGGCTCTGTGTAAATATAATTTTTTGTTGTTGTTGTGTGCACCGAGGCATAATACACCTCGCAGAGACTATGACAACTGCTTTCACAGAAGCTGCAGTGTAATGCACTGTCTGCTCTGAGACTGTAACATACTGTGTTCATAGACAATACACGGGGTTCACAGAGACATGGGATGTTGATGCCATGACGTGCCTTTAGTTACTGGCAGGAGGGACGGTTTGTGTTGAGTACTGAGAGAATCTGAGTGTTGAGCAGCTGTGGACTCACTGTCATTGATTGTGTGTTTGTCAAGGAGCTACTAATGTGAGATTCTCACCACGTTACCAAGACAGAGGCAGGATGTGGGCCATGTGTTGAAGCCTCTTATCTATCGTTCAATCTTATTTTTTGTCTTTGATGTCACAGAATCGTTAGAGATCATCTTTGAGGCTGCAAACCGATCCAATGCTGCTATTGCGGAGTTAGTGAGTGTGTCATAGTGTAAGAATGTGCTTGTGTGAGTGTCAATGTGTGTGTGTGAATGTCACTGTGTGTGTGTGTGTGAATGTCACTGTGTGTGTGAGTATCACTGTGCGTGTGTGTCACTGTGTGTGTGTCAATGTATGTGTGAGTGTCACTGTGTGTGTCACTGTGTGTGTGAATGTCACTGTGTGTGAGTATCATTGTGTGTGTGTGTCACTGTGTGTGAGTGTTACTGTGTGTGAGTGTCACTGTGTGTGAGGGCCACAGTGTGTGTGTGTGAGGGCCACAGTGTAAGTGTGTGTGTTTGTGTGTCACAGTGTGTTTGAGTGTGTGAGGGTCACAGTTTGTGTGTGCAAGGGTCAGTGTGTGAGAGGGTCAGCGCTCACACTTTGCTGTGTCCCAGGAGAAGCAGCAGAAGATGTGGGACGTTTATGAGATGCTCGGGGGTGAGGAAGACATTGTGGATCCTTCCAATGAACTACTGAAGGAGGGCTCCATCCTGAAGGTGTCCGTGCGCTCCAGCTCAACAGCAGAGAGACACTTGTTCTTGGTAGGTGCTGTGTGGCTGGGTGGACAAGGATCTCGCACTGTAGATACAGCTCCTTACACTGTCACTGAGCTAGGTAGCACCTCTCACCTTTGACTTGTCAAAGTGCAGAGATACAGCTGGCCTGCTCCAGGGATCAGAGGGTGGAGCAGACAGAGGAGCTTATAGCTTATTGTGTGGGCAGAGGCATTTGGAAAAGTGTGTTTTAGCTTTATATATGTACATAGATGTACCAGATAATGCAACTTACAATGATGTGGTTTTAGCTGGTTAGATTCCTGCAGTTACTCCAACGCACACTCTGGGCACCCCCAAACCTTGATTCTTGCCAACGTTCACCTAATATTTTCCACAATTAGCTAAGCAGACTGTGTCCCTCCAGCGAGAGAGAGCACATTCCATTCCAACAATCTATCTCTGGGATTTCCATGTGTAGATGGGATACATGGAAATCTCAGCTTGGTTTGGATACTTGTCGAGATACATGTTTGGGATATGACATGTCAAGCGACTGCCAGGACGGTGGAAGGTGAACTAGATGGACCTTTGTCTTCTTTCGCACTCAAATTCTATTGTTGGTTGGTACTGGAATGTTTGTATATCGCTGTGTTTCCTTTCAGTTTAACAAGATGTTGCTGTACTGCGCCCCGAAGCTGAGCCTGGGCAGTGTAAAGTTCACAGTCAGGAACAAGCTGCCCGTAGACTCCGTGCAGGTAATGAGCCATTCATCCCCTGGAGAATTTAGTTGCTCAGTGTGGACGGCTCCTCAGTCACTCTGCTTTTGTGGAGACTCTTAAACATGGTAACAAAAACAAAAGTAGCTGGGAACACTCAGCAGGTCAGATAGCATCTATGAAGAGAGGAAAGTGGGTTAACATTTCAGGTCGCTCACCTGAAATGTTAACTCACTTCTGTTTTTATTTCAGATTTGCAGTATTGTGACCTTTTTTTTTGCTGTTAAGCACAGTGATGGGTTTCCCCATATGTCAAACATCCAGCTGATCCCCAAAACTTTAATATCAATTTCCTCTGCACCATTGGTCACATTGCTACCTCCCGATGTGAAGGCGCTGTACAAATGTAATTTGTTTTTGTTGTTGTTGCTCACTCTCCACAGGTCAAGGAGGTGAATGATGTCGAGACTCCACATTGCTTTCTGGTTTCAGGCAAACAGCGATCGCTGCAACTTCAAGCCAGGTAACAGCAAGTCTCCCACTGTACCAGTAACTAGTGTTGTGCAGGCAAGTTAGTTGGACTCTTTAACAAAATTCCTTAGGTGGTGACTAGAGGATTCATGGAAGCCATCTACATGGGTTTTCAGGGACGCTTGATGAAGTCCCAGCAAGGACATCATCTTCATGTGAGATATAGTTCTGAAGTGGTGAAAGGGGAACCTAGGAAACAAAATCTTTACCATAAGGTTGACAGAATATGGAACAGACCGCCTAAGAGATCCATAGGTACAAGAGGAAAAGAGATAGGTACTTGGCAGGTAGGTGAGAGTATTAAAGTTGCCATAGATAATGGTAGGCAGGCTTACCTGGCAGGTAGCAATAATAATAATATTCCTTGCAATTGATATGGTGTCTTATCATGTCTTTGAGACATCTCAAAGCACTTTGTAGAGTATATTGTAAAGTGGATTGATTGCATATTTTGTGGGCCAACAATGACTCTCAAACTGTAACAACACTGATGCTCTCTTTCTCTCGTGGCTGTGCTCCCCTCTGTGTGTCTCCTCTCTCTGTCCAGTGACTGTGTGTGAGCAGAGACACCAAGACACTGACCATTGCCATAGCCTCCAGAACACATCTCTTACCATCTCAGAAGTCACTGGAAACGCTCAGCAGGCCAGGCAGCATCTATCGAGAGAGGAAAGCGAGTTAATGATTCAGGTCGATGACCTTTGCTCATTGAACTGAAACGTTAATCACATTCCTTTATCCATAGATGCCTGACCTGCTGAGTGTTCCCAGCGACTTCTGTGTTTATTTCAGACTTACAGCAACTGCAATATTTTGCCTTTTGTTTTTTCTCTTACCATCTCACTGTTCTTTGTCAGAATCAACTTCTATTACTCTCTTCCTCTCTCGCTCCCTCTCCAAACATTCACTCTGTCTCCCTCTCACTCTTTTATTCCTTCACACACTATCTGTCTCTAATCGGTCGGTGTGTTTGTGTGTTTGTCTCTCTCTCTCTGAATAAAATAAACAATGAATAAAACCTCTACTTCTACAGGTCACAGGAGGAAATGGAAGCATGGATCCAGGTATGTGCACATGATGAGAGTGTGTGTGTGAAGGATATGTGTGTATTGATGAGAGACGTGTCATATGTGGTGCACATGTGGCATTCATGTGATGTGTATGCATAATCCACACCTTTTCTAGTCACTGACTGGAATTATCCACTTTCCGATTCCCGCAGGCGATCCAGGAAAGCATTGTTCTCAGTGAGAGGAAGATCGACACCTTCAAGGCTGCCTCGCTTGGCCCAGCCTCCCCTGGACACCACGTGAGTCAGTAGGTGGCCTCACAGCCAGGGACACCCGCCCAGGCCTCAGGGCATTGCTCCCCGGACACAGACAGTAACATTGCACTGATGAGATTGGACTGGGAGGAATGGATGGCGTAAGATGAGGGAGGGAGGGTGGGAGGGAGGGAGGGAGGGAGGGAAAAGATTTTGAGGGTCAGTGGTATTTGCCTATTGCTCTGCCCCAACTCTGACCCACTACCAGTCACTGGAGGCAGGAATTCTTCCTACTCAGCAACAACAACAACGTGGGTTTATATAGTGCCCTCCACGCCAGACAGCATCTCAGAGCGCTTCACAGTAACAGATCCCGGGGCCGAGCCGGGCGGAGGGGGAGGGGGGGGCAGGGGAGGGGGAGGGCCAGGGAGAGGGAGGAGCCAGGAGGAGGGGAGGAGGCCAGGGTTGAGCCAGGGGGAGAGGAAGGAGCCAGGGGAAGGGGCAGGGGGAGGGGGAGGGGCCCGGGGAGGGGCCTGGGGAGGGGGAGGGGAAGGGGCCAGGGGAGGGGGAGGGGGGAAGGTGACCAAAGTCGCGGTCGAAAAGAAAGGTTTTCAGCTGAGACCTGAAAATAGGAAAAGAGAGGGCGACGCGAAGGGGGTGAGGAAGGGAGTTCCAGAGCCTCGGGGCATAGTGGCTGAAGGCACGGCCGCCGAGGGTGGAGTGGAGGAGGAGGTCAGAACCGGAGGAATGAATCCCATAAGTTAAAGCTGTAACAAGTAGGTGGTCCTCGCTGGAAAAGCGCTGGGAAGCTTGCCAGACAGTGCTCCCAATGGCAAGGTAAATGTTTTCGGCTGGTTAATCTCCAGCAGTTAACCCAACACACACTGGCTCTGGCCAACCTGCGCTCTCAGAAATGAGGTAAGTAGGTTGCCTCCCTCCAGGGGGAGAGATTGTAATTCATTCCACACACAGACATTTCCTTGTGCAAATGGCATACATAGATTGAACTCTGAGTCCGGTTTAGAAAAGCATGGTGACTGATGGATTTCTGTTGGTGTGATATCCGACCAAAGAACACCTCCACGATGCTGTACCCTGTCTCCAAACACCCTGGGACTGGATAGACCTCATTGAAACTGAGTGAAGAAATGCTCGTGTGGGGTGGGGGTGGACGAGGAAGAAAGGCCATGGCTGGGATGGGGGGAGAGGGCTAGGGTGGGGGTGGGGAGAAAAGTCTGGGCTGGGGTGGCGAGAGCGAGGCCAGGTCTGGGGGTGAGAGGCCAGGGCTGAGGGGGAGAGAGAGAGGCCGCGGTGGAGGGTGAGGGGGGAAGAGTCCTGGGCTGGGGGTTGAAGAGAGACCAGGGGTGGTGTGGGGGGGGTTGGAGAGAGGGCTGGGGGCAGGAGAGAGGCCAGGGCTGTGGGGGGGCTCAAGGGGGGGTGTTGGGGAACGAGTTGATCTTTGATGTCTTCTGTGTTTCCAGGAGGAAGAGCAAGAGTTGGGCAAGCGAGCGCCACGGTGGATTAGGGACAACCATGTCACCATGTGTATGCGTTGCAAAGAGGCATTCAACCCCATCACCAGGCGGCGCCATCACTGCCGGGCGTGCGGCTACGTAAGTGGGGTACTATAGCTCAGCGGTTAGACACTCGCCTCGCAAGCGAGAGGACCCAAGTTTAATTCCCGGCCAGGGCAAAACCTTGGGCAAGTTTCCTTATTCCACATGCCTCTGTTTACCCAGCAGTCAGTAGGAACCCTGTTGTTAGTCGAGTAATATCCTTCTAAAAAAACAATTGGACACTCGACCCATGACTGTTTGTTCGCTGGGTGCAATTGGCTGCCACGTTTTGTCCACAAAATACCCAGTCATAGATTCATAGAATTATATAGCATAGAAGGAGACCACTCGGCTCATCATGTCTGTGACTGTGTTTATGCTCCACATGTGCCTCCTCCTGCCCTTACTCAACTAAGCCTATCAGCATAACCTTCTATTTCTTTCTCCCTCATGTACCTATCTAACGTCCCCTTAAATACACCTATGCTATTTGCCTCAATAACTCCTTGTGGCAGCATGTTCCACATTCTCACATCTTCACAGAAAGGAGTCTCTGTGGGAAGAAATTTCTTCTAACTTCCCCATTTGATTTATTTGTGACTATTTTATATTGATATCCCTGGTTTTGGTCTCCCCCACAAGTGGAAACATCTTCCCTATGTCGACCCTATCCAAACCTTTCATTATTTTAAAGACCTTTATCAGTTCACCCCTTACCCCTCCTCTTTTCAAGAGAAAAGAGTCACAAGTATGTTCAGCCTTTCCTGATAGGTATAACTTCTCAGATCTGGGATCATCCTCGTGAATCTCCTTTGCACCCTCTCCAGGGCCTCCACGCCCTTTCTATAATGTGGGGATCAGAACTGCACACAGTATTCTAAGCGTGGGCTAACCAAGGTTCTATAGAAGTGTACCATAACTTCTTGTTATGCTTTTCATTTCTCTCCCTCTGGAAATGAAAACCCCAATGCCTGGTTTGCTTTTTTATGGCCTTATTAACCTGCATTGCTAATTTAGATCCCTTTGCTCCTCTACCCTATTTAGGTTTTTACTTTCCAGGATGTATGTGACTTCCTTATTCCTTCTACCAAAATGTACCACCTCACACTTTTCTACATTGAAATGCATTTGTCATTTAAATGCCCACTCGGGATGTTTATTGATGTCTTGCTGTAATTTGCTGCCGTCCTCCTCTGAATTAACCACTCCCCAATTTGGTGCCATCCGTAAATTTTGAAATTGTCCAAATCCCGAGTCCAAATCATTATATTGTGAACAACAGTGGGTCCTAATGCTGATCCTTGTGGAACACCACTGCCCACCCCCTGCCAGTCTGAGTAGTTACCCTGTGCCCCTACTCTCTGTTTTCTGTTTTGTAACCAGCTTGCTATCCATTCTGCTACGTTTCCCCTGACTCCATATGTTCTGGCCTTAGTCTATTATGTGATACCTTATCAAATGCCTTTTGGAAATCTAAATATATTACATCTACTGCATTACCCTTGTCTACTCTTTCTGTTACACTTTCAAAGAATTCAATGAGGTTGGTAAAGCATGACCTTCATTTTTTAAATCCGTGCTGATCATTCCTTATTGCGTTTTCCGTTTTCCAGATGTTTTTCTATTACCTCCATCAGTAAGGATTTCATTATCTTTCCTACCCCCGATGTCAAGTTGACAGGTCTATAGTTTCCTGGGCTTATCTCCCTTTTAAATATAGGTATAACATTAGCTATCCTCCAGTCCTCTGGCAATACTCCCTTTTCTATTGAGTTATTATATATGTGTAATAGTAATAGTGCCTCTGCTATCTCTTCCCTCAATTCTTTTAATATTCACGGATGCAATCTATCTGGACCAGGGGTTTTATCTGAGTTTTGTTAGTTTTTCGACTATCGCCCCATCTCCAACCTCCCATTCCTCTCCAACGTTGATGAGTTGTCGTGTCCCAGCTTTGTTCTTTCCTCTCCCGCCATTCCTACCAGCTCGGGTCCGGAACACTGATTGTCCAGCGCCTTGGGACGTCCTCCCGACGTGAAAGGCGCTGTACAAATGTAATTTTGTTGTTGTTTGTTGTTGTTTCGGGCTGAAAAATGATCCTCATTAAGAAGGAATCCAAGATAGCGGATCGGAGCTTCAGGACTGTGTGCCCCCAACATTCAGGCGATCGGGGAGTGGGGGAGGAATTTCAAAACGTATTTTAGTGACATTCCTTAAATGAAAAATGGCATGTGGTGTGGAATAGAGCAATGTTGAGTCTGTTGGAAGAGTGAGTAGGGGAGGGAAGGGCTGAGTGTGGATGCTGACACCCTCTCCCATGCTGTATGCAGGTTGTATGTGGGAAATGCTCTGACTACAAAGCTGAGCTTCAGTATGACGAGAACCGAACTAACCGCGTGTGCAGGGATTGCTATGTGGTGCTGAAGGGAGCAGCGGAAGGTGACGACAGAGAAAAGGAGAAGAAAAAAGGCATCCTTGAGGTGAGCAGAATATGTTTCTTGATTTTCTCCACCAATTTCCTCCCCTCCTCTCCTGAAGGTGATGACTCGTGGCGCTCTCCAGAAAAGTTGCCTGAGAATCATCGCATGTGGAGGTACATGCACGCCTCCTCCAGACCTCATTCCACCACCACAACAACAACTTGGATTTACAACAACAACAACTTGTATTTGGATTTACATACACTAGCCCTGCACCCTGTGCATGAGCCTGACAGTGAACATCAAAAGAATATTCCACTAGAGGAACAACATGAGCCCCATCAGCAGGGTCTCTGGGTGATCAATCATGATCCTCCTCTCTCTCAATCTAGCCCAGGGATACTGAAGGCACCTTGCCGGGTTGGGGTGAGGCTACAGTTGCCCTCAGTGTTCCTGGGCTAGATTGAGAGACAGAATCTTGAAATCAGCTGATTGAATCAGGAGAGATGATGCTGCGTCACTCCCAGGCTGTTCAATCATCACCAGTGACGACAAGGGTGCTATTTTCACCCTCTGGGCGCTCAGAGCGGGAGCACAACCCATTATCCGTATGTGTGTATATGTGTATGTCTGTGTATGTGTGCGTGTGTGTGGGTGTGTATGGGTGCGTGCGTATATGTAGGTGGGTGTGTGTGGATGTGTGTGTGTAAATGCACAGATAGACCTGAAATAAGTGAAAAATAAAACAGCTGTTCACCTGTGGACAGGATATCAAGCTGATGGGGAGATATTGCCTGGTGACTTGCCGGGCGAGACGTTTTGATTTGCTCATTTCTTTGCCGACAGAAAGAATCAGCCGAGGCATCACAGAATAGCCTGATGTGCAGCTTCCTTCACTTTACGGAGGGTGTTGGGAAGGCTGTGCTGAAGGCTTGGTTGTCATCCCCAGGGAGGATCCCTTTGTTCTCTACATGTACAAAGCCCCGCAGGTATGCACCGGGCAGCTTCTGCCTCATCTTCACCATCCGTACAACAACAAGAA